AATGAGCAACACCTCCATCAAACAAAAAAAAATATTAAAAATCAACGATAAGTAGCAGCTATTTTAAACTTGCACTTTATTTAAATTGATCGGGCTACAAAACTGCATACTCAAAATATGTATTTCTAGGAACTCTAATTAAAAAGCTCGAAATTTTTACGAAAGTTTGTTGATTTTTTAATGTTGCGCAAAGATTGAACCTTGGATTTATACGGGTTTTGTTAAAGTATAAACTGCATTTTTATAAACAAATAGTTAAAATTCAATAACTTTGAGATAAATGGCCAATCTTGTCAATATGTACGTGTCGTAAAGTTTGGATAAGCGCTGGAAATACTATTAAAATGTCAAGTTTTAGTACTGAATTCAAAGAAAAGGTCTCTTTTATCCATTCATAATAACTTAAAAAAAATTTGTTTGTTAAGAAGTGTACCTTTAAATATATGCATACACGTTTATGTTAAAAGTAGAAAATATGTAAATGTACCAACATAAACTTTCCCATGAATACCATTAAATCATTGGTCTTGAAGAGAATCTATGTATGCATGTACTAAGAAAATATATGAGCAAATTAAAAAGTGGATACAATTTACAGGCGAAAAGTACAGTTTTTGCATAGATTTCGTACTGAAGGAAGAATTTCATTTCCCAACACTGGTGGTGCCTATTTATGTTTCCGATGTTTTTGGTCAGACGCTTCTTGCACAATTTGCAATAAGGAGTATACATTTAGATCTTGAAGCCATGGTCTGTATAACACATTTTTGAAGTTCTAGTGATTTAGAAATAGTTTCTGCCTATAAGTTGAATTGAATATAAAAAGCGTAGTAAAAATAGAATAAAGTGTAGTGGGGTAGCAAATTTTGAAATTTTTTAAAAATCGTAGCAAATTTACTACGATCGTAGCAAAGTGCCAACGCTGGCCGTTGCTTTTCGACGTTGTTCATTTTTTCTTTAGAACCTCTTAAATGCTACAATCCGTACAATTTTCGTTTGGTGTTTTGATAAATAGCAGTAGTACCTTCTTCTTCTTCTTTATTGGCGCTGTAACCGCCTAAGCGATTTTGGCCGAGTCTAAAACAGCACGCCAGTCATTTCTCTTCTGTACACTCTGACACCAATTGGAAATGCCAAGTGAAGCCATGTCCTTCTCCACCTGGTTTTTCCAACGCAGAGGAGGCCTTCCTCTTCCTCTGTTACCAGCATCGCGGCCCGCGTTGAATATTTTCAGAGCAGGAGTGTTTCTGTCCATTTGAACGACATGGTCAAGCCAGCGGAGACGCCGTTTTTTAATTCGATGCACTATGTCTATATCGTTGTAAAGCTCACACAGCTCATCGCTAAATCGTCTGCGATATTCGCCATCACCAACGCGTAAAGGTCCGTAAATCTTTCGCAGAATCTTTCTCTCGAAAACTCCAAGAGCCGCCTCATCAGATGCTTTCATTGTCCATGCTTCCGCGCCATACACCAGCACAGGCATGATGAGTGACTTATAGAGTGTGATCTTTGTACGACGAGAGAGGACTTTACTTCTCAATTGCCTACTCAGCCCAAAGTAGCACTTGTTGGCAAGAGTGATTCTCCGTTGGATTTCAAGGCTGACATTATTATTGGTGTTAATGCTGGTTCCCAAATAAACGAAGTCGACTGCTTTTTCAAACTTGTAACTGTCAACATTGATGTGTGTGCCAAGACGCATATGCTCTGACTGTTTGTGTGATGAGAGGATATACTTCGTTTTGTCCTCGTTCACCACCAGACCTATTCGCGTTGCTTCTCTATCCAATCCCGAGAAGGCAGAACAGACGCTTTGAAATCGACAAATAGAGGGTGTGTGTCGATCCTATTCTCCCGGGTCTTTTCCAAGAATTGGCGTATTGTGAATACCTGATCTATGGTGGATTTTCCAGGCCTAATGCCACAATGATAAGGTCCAATCAGTTCGTTGACGGTGGGCTTCAGCCTTTCACACAATACACTCGATAAGACCTTATAATCTGTGCTTAGAAGGCTGATTCCGCGCGTTGGCGCGAATGGCGGGGTCGCTTCTCTTGTGAATTGGGCAGAACACACTTAAATTCCAGTCGTCGGGCATGTGTTCATCTGCCCATATTCTGCATACGAGCTGATGCACGCACCTCATCAGCTCCTCCCCACCGTACTTGAATAGCTCGGCTGGCAGGCCGTCAGCTCCAGCAGCTTTGTTGTTTTTCAGCCGGGTAATCGCTATTCGTATCTCGTCATAGTCAGGCGGAAGACCGCTACTCCATTATCATCGACTGGGGCTCGGGTTCGTCTTCTCCACTACTTTCAGCGCTGCTACCATTCAGTAGGTTGTAAAATTGTTCCCTCCACAATTTAAGTACATTCTGGACATCGGTCACAAGGTCTGCATTGTTGTTCTTACAGGAGTTCTCCCCGGTCTTGAAACCTTCCGTAAGTCGCCTAACCCTCTGATACAATTTTCGAGCGTTCTTCATGTCAGCCGTCATCTCAAGCTCTTCGCACTCACGTATTTCGGCCTCTCTCTTCTTATTGCAACAAATACGTCTCGCTTCCTTCTTCAGTTCCCTATAACGGTCCCACATGGCTCGCGTTGCGCCCGATCGCAGCGTGGCCCTATAGGCGGCGTCTTTTTTCTCTGCTTCTTGACATTCCTCATCGTACCACTTTCGGGCTCGCTGAAATCCAACTACTTCTTCGGCGGCGGTACTTAATGATCGAAAAAATGTGGATCCACTGCTCGCGTATGTCGGATTGTTGAAGAGTGCTCTCAGAGAGCAGGTGTGTGAGTCGAGTGGCGAATAAATTGGCCGTCTGTTGCGATTGCTGCTTTCCGACGGTAAGGTTTCCTTGCATTGTTGGGCGCACATTTTTTTGCTGCACAGAGTCGGGTGCGTATATTGGCTACAACAAGATAGTGGTCCGAGTCGATGTTTGGCCCTCGGAGTGTACGTACGTCTAAAACGCTGGAAGCATGCCTTCCGTCTAACACAACATGATCGATTTGGTTTCTCGTTTTTCGATCTGGAGACAGCCATATACCTTGGTGATGTTCTTATGCTGGAACCTAGTACTACATGTTACTAAGTTTTGGGCCCCGGTGAAGTCGATCAGCCTCAGTCCGTTATCGGAATCTTCGTCGTGGAGGCTGAATTTTCCGACAGTAGCGCCAAAGATCCCTTCCTTGCCATCGTGTCGGGGGCAGCGCTCATATGTTCGTTCCAAGCGCTCCAAGAAGAGATCCTTGGACGCCTCGCCCTTCTCTTCCGTCGGGACATGGGCGCAGATGAGCGAGATGTTGAAGAATCTAGCTTTCGTGCGGATTGTGGCTAGACGTTCGTCCACCGGGGTGAACGCCAGTACTCGGCGACGGAGTCCCTCTCCTACCACGAATCCAACACCGAATTTGGACTCCTTTGCGTGGCAACTCTAGTAGACGTCGCAAGGCTTCACACTTACTTTTCCTTGCCCCATTCATCGCATTTCTTTGATGGCGGTGATATCAGCCGTTGTCTTTCCGAGGACATCAGCCAGCCGGGCAGAGACCTTCCTCATTAAGGGTCCGGATATTCCAGGTGCATACGCTCAAATCATAGTCCTTTATACGTTTGCCGTGATCGTCCCCAAAAAAAAGGGGGTCTCATCCGAGGCTTGTTGGAATTTTTCATTGGGCGGGGTTTTAGCGTGGCGGGAACAAAACCCAGCGCAGGCGAAGTTTTACGCCTTCTCACTTTAGTTCGCTCCCAAACGGGTGTTTAGTTGTTACTCAGAGGATACGTGGATATAAATATCTGGACGTTGTGAGCTGCGATTTGAACGGTACGCACAAGAATCGCTTCTGGCCCCTCCCAGGTGAATGGCAGTCAAAAGTTTTCCACTTCTGATCACGGAACCATCCACCAGCAGTAGTACCTAACGTCTTTTAATAAGCAAACAAACATTTCCTCAAAAATCGAAAATTTTTGTCCTAATTTTTGGCTTTGAGAGTATCTATAATTTGTACATAAAATTTAATTCGAACTCAAATTATTCTCAACTCTATGAAAAATTAATGAATCTCTTGACTATTATCTTGATACAGAATTTTTCGATCAATTATGTCAAGGCGTACATTCAACTACATATATCGCGAAAATTATACGAATAAGTAAGTGAAAAAACTCATTCAAGAAACAACCAGAAATCTTAAAAGTTTTAGAATTTAAGAGGTTCTAAAGAAAAAATTAAAATAATTTGTTTTCTCCTAAGAAACAAATAAATACCAAACGAAACTTTTATGGAAAATAGAACGCAGTATGTAAATGGCCTTTTTCTGAAAAAAAATTTCTTTTTGTTTTTTTTCAAAAAAATCGTATTATTGTTATCGTTTATCGAAATTTTTCACTTTTATTTATAAATAAATTAAAAAACAACGGGGACAAATAATCTTAGGAGCAACCAAATAGCTTACAAATTACGGAAACCATAAGGTTTATAAAAAAATTTGCCAAAAAATTATTACTAATTGACAAAAACTTAAAAAATCCGTAAAATATGCAAAAGTCATGCTATGAAAATTATAAAAAATATCTGTTCATTTATTTTTGAAGTAGAACAACATATTTTAAACTGAACCCGATTCTCGATATACCATCCTGCATGATTTGAAATGGATCCAGTCAAATACAATTTTTTGAATTATTGAAAAATTATAATTTTATGTTCATTACTTCATAAAGGCAGGTGTTAATTTCTTTTGTAAATTTTCAAAAAGTCAATTTAAGTTTTAAAGTCGACTATCAGAGGGGATTAATCGGCTTTAAGAATCGAAAACCTGAAAGTCGCTTCTGAAGCATAGAATCGATTCTGCGTGCGCATTTTCCATCCCTAGGTGCCATTAAACTTCCCACTGACTTATAGGCAACTTTTACTAATTTGCGAACAAATTTCGTAACTTGCCCAATTTTCTAAAGTATGCCCACTAGGAAAAATATGGGAGCTTTAATAATTACCTCTCATTTCGTTTGTTTGATCTGTTTCACAACCCTCGTCTGTACTAGTACTGCACTGTGTGGCCATTTTTGTTGACTTCAGTCTGGATGCACACTTTTCGTTACAAAATTTCCTGTAAATATTTTCGAAATTAGATGCATTTTAAAAATACAACTTAAATGTTTTATTTCTAAGGATATGTACAGTATACAGTCCGACCGATTAATCGGCCGATGCCGAGGCTAGTATAGGCCCAAAAAGAATCGGCATGGGCCGTTTTTGGCCGATTCTTGAATGAGGTTATGTTATTTAGTTATTTGTTTATGTTTTTCTTTTGTTACTATAAAAATTTATAAAAGCATTTGTTCTTGAAATGAAATTATATTCAGGATTTAATCGGCAAAGAATCGGCCGATGCTTCGGTAGATTAAATCCTGAATTAAATTCATTTCAAGAACAAATGCTTTTATAAACTTTTATAACAACAAAAGAAAAACATAATAAAATAACTAAATAACATAACCTCATTCAAGAATCGGCCAAAAACGGCCGATGCCGATTCTTTTTGGGCCTATACTGGCCTCGGCATCGGCCGATTAATCGGTCGGACTCTAGTGCAGTATACGGTGTAACTTATCCAAGAATTTGTTATAGATAATTTGTGTGATCAAATGTGGTAAAAAAAATCATCATCTCTGTTCCACACGAACCCGCGGCATCACATGGGTGCCCAAACCAGTCACGACAGCGTTCCCCATCCTGGAGATCTGGGTAGTATAGAATGAAAATCGGAACGTATTAGATCCTAAATACGTGTCCACTTCTTCCTGTGCGAAACAGTTCATACTCTATTTTCAGGCACAAATGGACAAAAGTGTCAAACTGAAAACCTTCTGGCATGGCGTTCGCATGTTGCATGAACGCATTCTATGTTTTTGGATAAACGTAATTGACGCGAAATTTATAACTAAGAGGTTTTCGGTACTTGATTGATAAATTGAAGAAAATTGACTACTCTGTATCTTTGCTCTTAGGTAAGCATGCAGTAAGGCTGAATATCATCGATGACCATGAATAACTACCCTGCAGAAAAAAATATCAATTGATTGAAATAACCAACTTTTAGTTAGCTTTTTTGCGGGATTTCGATAAATAACTAACTTTTAATTAGCTATGACAAAACTAACTTTAAGTTAGTTGTAAAGTTGTGCAGGAGTCATGCAGACGTTAACGGAAGTTTGGTTTCTTTATAAGCTTGTATTTAAATATCCTCATACAAAAATTACTTTCAATACACATGTAAGCAAATAGGCAAATATGTAATGTTAAATAAAATAAGTAAATGAATAAAAATATAAAAAATTAAAAAATTAAAAAATATTTTTTTTTTTTTTTTTAATTGATAGCTTATGTCCAAAAGTAGTTAGCTATAAGTTAGTTAACATCTAATGCAGAGGAAACCAGTTCTCACTATTTTTAAGCCATCGTCCTTCAAAAGTAGCTAGTTACGGCCAACGGAAATAGTTAGTAAATAGTTACCACTAGTCGACTGCTAGTTAGTTAATAGTTAGCTACAAACTAGTTCCATTTTCTGCAGGGAAGTTTAAAAAGGCCATCAAAACCCTAAGAATACAATTCTGAACGCATGAAAATCATTTTGTGAAGTTGACTCTAAGCTTCCAATACAAATGAATATATATCAAGGCAAGCAACAAAAGCATTCAAGTATGTTTATTAAGTGCAAGTAACACAAAAACTTTACAAAAAAGAATTGCATTCAATGCAGAATGCGAAGTTTCAGAAAAATATTTAGGAAAATATTTAGTCTTTTCTACGGTTTATATTATTACTGCAACTGATTTTAGTAAGTCTTTCGTTTTTAATAAACACCACGCCTTGTATGAAGTGGAACAAGATGAGTGTATTTTCATCCACAAACATTTAAATTTTCAAGTATACATAGTGGTATTTCGACAGAATTTGGCGCAGTGCCGTATTTTGACAAACTTGTATCAAAAATGTCGATGTAGTACGAATGTACTTTTGAGATTCCAAATATACCAAAAAAGTACAATTGTACCATCAATGTCATCACTGGTCTGTATTAGACTTAGCAGCTTGATATATGAAAGGTCCTCAAAAATTGCTCTAGTCTCTGGTCGTTCGCTGGGATTGATACCCGCCACATAAAAACGAATTGCAATGAAGAAATAAGCCCCTGATGTGATGACGACGATGACGGATTATGCACGCCCTTCAGTGTTTTGGATACCCACACACCTCTATGCCGCAAAAAATCTGCGCCCAACCTTATGGTCTGATTATGGCAACTTAACGTAACTTACGGCTCTCTTAAAAATTCTGTTAAATGGGTGTTGCTTATAATTGAACAGCCGAAACTTAACATAATTTAATGCCACGTCGAAATCTGTTTCATTTCGATTCTCTAAGTTCTACGTTCCGTTAAGTTAAGTTAAGTTGCCATAATCAGGCTTTACAAGGAAAACTCAACGTCGGAAAGCTGAAATCATAATAGATACCGCCATATTCGCCACTCGACTCTAGCACCTGTGCCCTGTAAGTACCTTCAACAAACCGATATGCAGTGTTCACAATGTTTTTCAAGTTGCATTTTTGTTTGTAACTTTGCTATAAAAATATTCAAGCTTTAACTATGACTATATAAATCACAGTTTCGAACGTAAAAATTTTGCACTTGCTTATGGAGTTCTGCCTGAATTAGAGCGTGTATAAACAGCAGAGCTGTGTAATGATTGAATCAATTGAGTGTGCATTCTCATTTTTTTTCGTTTCAAAAATGTGATTGTTTGATTTAAAAAATTTAACAACCACTCTTGAGATTGGTTACAAATCGTAAACACAAAATATGTAGAGTGTTATGGAATGGTTGAGACCCTTTCTCATAGAGAATGTGAATGCAAAAAAAACTCAATCATGTATGATTGTACGTTTATGGGAATGCAATCTGTCATTATCATTCAGTACTAATACTATTTGTTGTATCAGGGTTGAAATTTTTGTACTCAAAATGTGAAATCTGAAGATTGCCATCTCCCTTAAAATAACTAAAAAAAATAAATATTTGGTGCTGAAATATTTTTCTAAGTGTTTGGCCGAGCTTCTCCTCAAACTTGAGGCATGAGGTCTGTTGTTGTCACACAAATGGAGACACTTACATATTTAAGGCTGACACCGAACGCCAAATGATTATATAAGAAGTGTTTTCAAGGCGGAAATATCCTCGAAGGTTTGTCATTGCGTGCCGAAGGACTACTGCTATTTTAGGTTATGATCTGACCAGGGTTCTGTGGAGTGGAAGTACGCACATGTATGTATACATTATTCCCTTATTTGTTCTCAAAATGCGTGAAAGCTATAGTACGCTTGCAAACAATTAATAACTTTTTTGTGATAAATAGTTTTACAAATGTATTAGGACTTCAAATTTGTGTTTTAGTAAAGTATCAATTAAATAAATTATTATTGTAAATTATTATTATAATAAATAGATATAAAAATGTTTATATTTGGCAACTCTTAGAGTTTTCTTTAATTGTAACATATGACAGATGTAAACAAAATAAAAAAATCATTGTAATTTTACAAATTTAAAGAAAACGGGCGTTCTTTGCAAAAAAATATAGCTAGGGATCGGATTTTTCTTACAATACCAAGTGCCTCTAAGAAGTGTTAAACCACTAAATACCTTAAAAAATGCCTTCAAAAATTCGAACGAGAGCGAAGTGCCAGTGTTCAATTGTGATCGAAATTGCAGGCAAAATTTGTGCGTTTGTAATTAATGTTTTATTTGAAGAAATGTTGCCCCTTGTCTTTAAAAATAAGCAAACCAAGACCCCCGCTTCCCACTGGTGGTTACATAATACTTGAACAGCCCCTTAATTAAAATGTGCTTGTTTTGTGCACGCACGGCCAGTTAAACAGGCATGTCTGAATCGATTTCCTTCATCATTCTTAGCAATTTGATGTGAATTTTTATTGTTATACCTTGCAAACAGACATTTTAGGAACTAAATATGTTCTATAATCTCTGTACACAAGCGCACTTATTTTTAATAGTTTCCAGTTTATGTAATATTGATCAAAACAGCTTTTATTTATTTTATGTATTATGTGATTTTTGGAAGTGTCGAATACAAAAAAGTGCTGTGACTGGGTTTATGTAATTTAAAACTGTATTGATGATTGCTAATAATAATAGAAAGGCGCTTACACATCGATGGTCCTCTGCAATAACGACACAACTCAAAATTTCATATATTTCAGTAGAGCCAATTAAAGACTTTTTGTTTCGTAATTTAGCAATAATATTATAATATCATATTGTAAGCTTTCAAATTATAAGATAGTCCCAAATTTTCACAAAAGAAAAAAGTGATTTTCTTCAAAACTTTTTTTGGATGACATCTTGACTGAAATTACTAATTCGGAATTTCTACTATTACTTATAGAGTAGGCTATTCATAAAGTCTGGGTTATGAAATAAAAATTGTTTTATTATAAGTTCCATAAATATAAGGAGACTTTTATTGTTTCATTTATTTTTTGCGCATAAACTTGTATCTTGAACTTCTTTTTCCAAAAAGTGAGGATGTCAAAATTTTAATAGATATCGGATGTACGGTAATTTTCCAAAGAGATATCCTTATAGATAAGTTCATGAAAATTATTCCAAACGAAAACTTAAAATTGATAAAAAAATAATAACTAAATTTAACTAATTTATATTAGGGGTTTGAAGTTTATCCCATTGTAAGTATGAAATCTGCAGCTATGTGTTTCCATTGTCACTTTATGGTCGCCATATCAACAACCTGACAATTAAGAAGATTGTGACGTTTCATGCTACCATACGCAATATCTTAAATCATTTAAATTTTATTATTAATCTTTTGTTTGTTTAAAAACATTTCTTCTTAGATTCGAAACTTGATCAAGCAAAATCGCCTTTATTTTTGACTAAGGGATGCTCAATAAGCTCATAATTGTAGTGCTCATTTGCATACATAGCAATAAATTACTAATTTTTGTTTCACACCAACTCCAATATTGAATAGTAAAATATATTTTAATCTTACCCAAATAAACAACGAT